CCCCCCCCGTTCCGTATTAACATCGGTATGAGCTTTAAATGTGTCCACATTTTGTCCGACATCTCTCATTGATTCGCTCCACTGAGCGCCGCTGGTAGTGTCCGATGTCAAAACGCCTTCTTATCCGTGCGTATGCAACACGGACATCCGTTGAGTTCGAATAGTTGTATCCAGGCATTATAATGAGTTTCTTTTAGTATCCGTCACATGTGATACTGACTTAAGCTTTGATTGTTTCTCCTATTCCTTAACGCAATGCCATCGTTGCCTGTCACGCCGGTGAAGTAAATCATTACTGATTTTAATCGCGACATTGTTAATTTTCCGAGAAATGCATTATTTAAAAATCTTGCAACATTGCCGACCCTCGAAATCGCAAAAAATAAGGTATATAGCATAATATAGAGAGTTTCCTTTAACCTTCTGCAATGAGTCTTTGTTTGTTTGGATTTTTTTTAATCCTTTGGGATAGCTAATTCTGGTATTTAAGTCCGAAATTTGTAAAGAATAATCCCGATGAATCACACGGAACTGGAAACAAAAACGATGAGAGTTCGTCTGTAGACAAAATGAAATGCGGCGGGAAATATGTAACATCCTACGCTTAATTAAATACATGTTTATGATTTCCTGGGTGCAATAGCGAAACTACTATAGACTATAGTATAATAAAGCCTGGTAAATATATCACCGAAAATTATATTATTTTTTCCTTTTCTCCTCCTGAAATGTCGACTGCATGTTGTTTCATGTGGATCGCGTTTAGCAGAAAGGAACCAAGCCTCATCATCTATTACCAAATTAAACATGGCAACATAATTTTTTACAAGAGAAGGTTTTGCGGATTCCTTTGAAAATTTTAATGAATTTGCTTTGTATTATGCAAAAAATTCACTGCAATTTTCACAAATATCCGCACAACCGTTTTCATGTAAAAAGTCAAATTTCCCAAATAAATTTACAATAGCTAATGTGGCTTAGTTCTTTTTTGCTCAACGCGGTCCATGTAAAACCCCTTGTCGCCATTGCAGGGTTGCACGGGTGGAATGAAAAATATGAAACATTTTCAGGGGCTGGGTATGCAACACGCACTAAAAAACACCGAAAAGCAAAAACCATTCGCCCTTCATACAATTTTGCATTTCGGAAAAAAAAAATTCAATATTTTTCATATTTTTCTGAAACCATATGAAATATTTCACATGAAATATCAAGATTTTATTTTTTACGAAAAATTGCAACCCTGCCCAAGAGGAACCTAATCAAGCATCTTCTGCAAAACTTCACACTCCGCCTATTTCTGTTTCAGGGTCTTTCACAATTTTACCGGGTGGGCGAAGTGGCCCTGTCCATGGACAGCAACGTCGTTCAAATCGGACTCCAGCTGGTGACGAAGGAATTATTGGGCGGCTGCTCGTGGACCGTGTCGCTGGGTCGTCGCGGCAAACTGGCCCGCACCGGCGTCTCCAACTTCACCGTCCAGCATCTACAGATCCGCGCTTTCGTCAACCAGTCCCTCGACATCCGCCACGCACCCATCCTCGATGATCTGGATGTCGAGGTGAGTTGACATCATTATAACAGGAGTAATACAGTATCAGAGAGATCATGGATGCCAAGCAGACCATCGTGCATGACATTATGACAAAACAACTCATTTGGTATGGTCATGTCCAGAGAATGGCAGGAGACAGGTTGCCGAAGAAGGTCCTTGACAAGGTTCCTCCTCGGAGAAGACGCAGAGGGCGCCCAATGAAAGGTTGGAGGGAAGGGATTGAAGCGGAAATGTTAAGCTGCTCAATCCCCCAAGATTTGTGGTTTGAAAGAGAGCAGTGGAGGTTGGGAGTCGTAGAGCGCGAGGGAGTGCTGTAAAACGACTTATATGTATGTATGTATGTAATACAGTATCGAGATTAAAGAGGCTGCAAAAAAAGTTCAAGTTTATGAGCCGAACAGGGCCGGATTTACTTACTTGCAAATACCGCCTGTATTTTGTCACCCCCTTCTCATTCGTTTTGAAACATCACTGAAAACCATCAAGTGAACGTGCGGGAGGGGGAGAGGTGCGTAAGACGCGTTTACTCGTGTTGGACACATTTTTTGCGGAAGCCCTGTCAACACTACCAGCAAAAGTTCACGGAACCTGGCGCGAAAATTAAGCTCCGTAAACCCATCTCTGCACGTGTGGACAAGGCCTTCCATTTATAATGAAATGAACGAAAAAATTATGAAAGAACAAACATAAATGTGGTTTAATAATTTTAACTTGACGCGCTTAGTAACGCGCTGACCGCACTGTGTTTGGCGCAATGCGTGAAGTATTCATGCAGTCTTGTAGGCGCTATGCGTTTCCCGCCGCCCGGCTGCTATTCGCAGCGATCGCGCTGTCTTTGGCGCAATGCGCGAAGTATTCATGCAGTCTTGTAGGCGCTCTGCGTTTCCCGCCGCCCGCTGCTATCCACAGCGATCGCACTGTCTTTGGCGCAATGCGTGAAGTATTCATGCAGTCTTGTAGGCGCTAATATAAGTTCATGCCGACCGCCGCGCCGAGGGCTTCTCCTTTTCATCTCAAGTTCTCGTCATCATTGCTCTCTGCGCCGCGCCGTTCCAGGCCAAATTCCGTGTTCGGTTTCTCTCTTAGCCTTAGCTCGACTAATTAAAGGTGCTGTCTATTGTATTGTATCACAGAAATACGACAAAATTAGAGATATTCTCTCAGGAAATTAGAGATTTTGTCGCCTTTTCCCGTTTGTAATTTTTTTTCTGAATCCGATTTTTCTTTATAGCTACATTTAAAAAAATGGCAACATTTGCGGCCCCCTAAATTTGCCGCCATGAGCCGCGGCCCATATGGCCACCCCTTAAATCCGGCCCTGGAGCCGAAATGTATCCGGTTTGACAAATTGAGAATTTAGTTTGGCAAATCGAAAGTTCATTTTGACAAACCGTGAGTTCAATCGAAATGGAACTCCGAAAGTTCGGCTTTTACAAGAGAACTTCCTTTTTCAGTAGATGTGATGGTAGCTACAATGTCATTAATTTATATACCCAGGTTACAAATCATTTTGAATGATTTGTAATTACAATTGTAACGTTCAGTTGTAGGTAAAGCACGTATTTGGCTTATACACTTACTCATTTGTGCGGAAGAACACTCATTTATGAGCATTCTTGGCCATTTTAGTTTGATATTGGAATCTGAAGATTGGCAAGCGATACTTCTTTCGACTTGTCATGCAATGATTATTTGAAAAATGTGTTCATAAGAGGAGATACTAAGTCCGGTTTCGGATTTAAAAAAAAATTACACGAGGAACATCCCTCCACACGCCTAAAAATCTGCCTAGCCCCTGCCGATATCGAAACCTTTGCTATCAAACTACCATTTTCAAGAACGGCCCATAAAATTCCATGTATATATTTTATCTGGTGGTTTTACGTGTGAAAAAAGAGTACAACAATTAGTGCTTTTACCAGTTATTGGAAACAACTGATCGTTACAATTGTAATAACAAATCATTCTGAATGATTTGAATTCATCTTCATCATCTAACCTCGATATAGTACTTTAGGTCAAATATAATAAATTTCCTCAATTAACAGTGCCTAGAGTTTAATGTGCTTCCAACTGTTCTATTTCAGGTGGGAAAGGTGAAACTCACGATGGATGGCCGAGGATCTCTGGACTATGTCATTGAATTGGTTGTCAATCAACTTCCAGACTTAATACGTCACATCATTGTTGATGCACTGGAAGAACCGATCAGGCTCAAAGTACAATCCATCCTCGATCAAGTGAATCTGGAGGAAATCGTCGAATCGAAACTACCGGAGCTTGATAATTTCACAGGAGCGTCATGAGAGGAATGTTTCACAGCATGTTCCTAATGATGGAACTTTTTGAAGGCCAAATATATGCTTCCAATTCAAGAAATATTGGTATACTTTGAAATTCTCAAAACACAAAAGCAGCTCCTCAAGACACAGTTTATAGACTTATCGATATTTCAATTTAAGTAATTTTTATGTTACTGGCATTCAAAAATCATTATTGCCTTTTTATTTATGTATTTACTTACTTATCGCGAGTCAACCAGATTTTTTTTATTTCTTCTTATTTATTCTAGTATGTATTTGATCTGAGGCACTACTGCTGTGCAACGCAAAAACGCCGTAAAAGTCAGTTTATATTTCTTGGAAACAATGTATCATAGCAGAAAAACTTGTGTAACTTCGGACAATGTTTTTACAGAATTCTTTCGCCAATACTATCAAGAACTTAACCTGAAAATTTGAGGTGCATGGATAAAAAAGTTTTTATTTTATAAAGTGTGAAGTTCCAAAAAACGAGGGAAAATCTTGATGGATTTACGGCGTTCTTGCTAAGTACGGTAGTACCATGTCTACTTGATGGTTACTTGAATTTCAGACAAAAACTGCTTACCATTAATTTTCTTTGAAATTCATTGGACAATCATCGATGTAATGAATAACTCGTAATGATGGTGTTATAAATTGGTCATTGATTACATTCAATCATTGACGAGTAATTGTTTTTTCTGCGTATGTCGACGCTAAAAAAACACCGCATTCCTGCAGAAAGT